TTCCTTCACCGGGCAGAATTGCTACTCACTTGCTGGAAAACCAAAAGTCTTTTTTGTTCAGGCCTGCCAAGGTGATGCTTGCCAGGAAGGTGTGAACATAGAAACAGATTCTAAAGAGCCAGATGATTCTGTAGAAACAGATGCAAGATTTCAGTTCGAGTGCATCCCCACAGAGGCAGACTTCCTCTTGGGCATGGCTACCCTGCAAGATTACGTTTCCTACAGAAGCCCATACCATGGGACCTGGTACATCCAGGCATTGTGCCACCACTTGGAGCACAGCTGTCCTCGGTAAGTGTTTCCATGAACTTTTTGACAACACCTGTACTTTCCTTATGAATGACAGGAGTTGATTTGGATGCAGAGGGAGATGATATGCAGTGGGAACACTCCGCTCAAAGTAAAAACAGTAACGTAGGACAGAGGAACACCATGCAGATTGTTGAAAGCAGCTTAGCTAACTGCTTTGAAGCCTGTTTAGAACAGGAGCCATTAGCATTAGCACTTGTATAGATCAAGATAAATGAGAACGTGGTAATTTTTCTGATGTTAACTGCCTCCTACTACAAAACATACTTCTGTTTTTGCAGAGGTGAAGATATTCTCACCATCCTGACAGCAGTGAATCGGGAGGTGAGCAAAAAGACGTGCCAGCCAAATTCAAGGAAGCAGATGCCACAACCCACTTTCACATTGAGAAAAAGGCTCATTTTTCCTGTCAACTGAATGGGAGGGAATTGCGTGGCAGAGGGAGCTGGAGCATCCTGGAATTGGCTGTTACCAGCCAAGAATTTGGTAAAACAACAGATCACTAGGGTCAGCTCTTACCACAGGAGCCAATGTTTTTATTCAAAGTACAGCCTTAAGAAGTTTTTATTATTATGTATCACACTTTATACTTGAGCCTCTCAGAGCTAGGCCCCAAGCTGGGGGTCACTAGCTCAGTTCCTTTTTCAGCTGTACCGCATTACTGCTGCTTTAGTAAGGTATCTTTCCAATGCAGATTTCAAAAAACCTGTTATGAAGCTCTGTATTTTCTATGCCTGACTTTTGCAAAATAAAGGGGAGAACACTGGAAATTTTCTAGGATATTATCAAGTTACATCAGTGTGTTTTGTTACTTTTTCTCACCACTTAAAATCATTCATTTTTGGTGGCTTGGTATAGTTCAAGGAAAAGTTATGCACTTGCCCTCCAGCATCCTCAGCAGGATGTGGCTGTGACCTGCAGAAATAAGCGCAGAGAGATTATAGACTGTGAGACTGATTAGAACCTTAGCAAGTGGCAGATGCAGCAAGCACTTACAGGAACAGGTAAATCTCTGCCTCCGAATTCTAGGACTAATTTTCCAAGACTTAATGGTACTCTTCTAGGGATTCATTGTGAAACCATTGAGAGTTGTGCTGAAGCGAGGACAGCTCATGTACAGAAATTTGTCTGTTACTTGGATAGGATCAGAAATGTGCAATCCAAGTGAAGGAAAACAATTTTCTTTTTCCTAAATATTGAATAAAAACTATAAGCAAACAAGCATATTACTCCATGGGTAGGATTATCAATGGAACCTGCTTTCCTGTGGGTTTTCTTCCTTGATCCCTTCTCTCCACACATACTATTCAGCACTTTACCTCCTACATGTCACCTGTGTCCATCAGCAACTTCCAATTCTGTGCATAGACCCTGGGCTCCCTTCCTGTCACACTGAGGATCCAGCTGGGAATCAGGCAGAGCACAAGTACTGACCTTTCACAGTTCCCTTTCCCGCGGAGGCGGAGGCTGGACCTTCTTTGGTCTGCATTGTTGACAAAGCTTGAGGCAAGAGACTGAACTCAAGAGGTGTCTGACTGACAGCATGCTTACATAGATAACTTTTCCCCTAGGTATCACAAAAAGATACAGCAAATACAAATAGGTAATTAAAAAACTCCACATACACAAGCATAGCAAAACAAGGAATTCATTCACCACCTCCCAGTGGCAGGCAGGTGTTCAGCCATCTCCAAGATGCCAGGCCACCATCACCTGTAATGGTTACTTGGGAAGACAAACACCAGAACTTTGAATGTCCTCCCACTTCGTTTTTACTCCCCCAGCTTCATATGCTGAGCATGACAAAGAATCATAGGTTGGAAAAGACCTTTAAGATCATAAATGCAATAGATCGTATGGCATGGGATAGCCCTTTGGTCAGCTATCCCACCTTTGTCCACTCCCAACTCCTTGCGCACCCCCAGCCTACTTTGCTGGTGGAGTGAGAAGCAGAAAAGGCCTTGACTGTGTAAGCACTGCTCGGCAGTAAGGAAAACATCTGTGTGTTACCAACTCTGAGCCCACCAGCTACTGTGAAGAAAATCAACTACTCCAGCTAAAAACAGTACATGGGATTTCCATCTTTACAATTAAATTGGAAATTTCTGCTAATTTTTGGGCTATCTAGACACTGAGAGCTCAACTGCAAGTGTTTTAGGTATTTTCAAGTGGAGACTCCACAAGCCATACAAAAGGCCTTATTTGCAGTCACTTCTCACTTGTATAAATTGCTATTTAAAGGCCCTTATTCTTGGGAGACTGTCAAAAGTATTTCTTTTAGCAGTGTCACCAACTGAAAGGAAAACCAGAAAGGAATTCAAGCCACTTCCAAGTCTCATTTGTGCAGAATCACTCCAGAATGTTTTGGAATTGCTAAAAGTCCCATTGACTTAGGTGGCTTAATAAACCTGTTTTCTCAGGAAGCTCTTCTTTGCACCTTTCTCAGGTACACCTGAGCTTTTGTGGCTCTAGCTCTTTTCCTGCATCTTCAAAGGGGTTACAACTCTCCTTACTACAGGGAAAGCGCAGGACAAAAAGTGGGAAAAAAAGCCCTCTCCAAACTCTACATTCTCACACAGCGTGTACATGCATACAGAGTGACAGCCAACTGTATTCCTCAGGCTCAGCCTTTTCAGGGCAGCTGAAATCTCCTGAGTTCAGCAGGAACTTGGACACTGATGTTAATTTTCTTTCCATATGCACCATGAACAGCTTTGATGAGAGAGAGCACACAGGCAGAAATCCCAGATCTACCAATATTGAACCTTCCTCTGGTGCCATGTAGCTGCCTATGGCCATAAGGCTTCCCCACTGTGGGGCATGCTTCTGTAACATCAGTTAATCATGTTGGTAACTGTCCTGGGTTCAGCAGTAGCAGTTGTTTTTCTCCTTCTTGGTAGCTGGTGCAGTGCTGTGTTTTGACTTTCGGCCTGGGAACAGAGCTGATAACAATAATGCTTTGGTTTGGCCAAGGACTTTGTGAGCCTCATGCTCTGCCAGGGAGGAGGAGAAGCCGGGAGGAAGCAGAGACAGGACACCTGACCCAAACTGACCAAAGAGGTATTCCATACCACAGCACGTCATGCCCAGGATGTAACTGGGAGTTAACTGGAAGGGCTGGGACTGCAGGGTTGGAGGAGGTATCGGTTGGTGCTTGGTCAGGCTGGGGGGGGGCAAGTTATTGGCTGGCTGGTGGTGAGGTATTGTATTCTTTTCCCTTGTTGTTTCCTTTATCATTATTATCATTGGTGGTAGCAGTAGTGATTTGTGTTATACCTTAGTTGCTAAACTGTTCTTATCTCAACCTGTGGGAGTTGCATTCTTTTGATTCTCCTCTCCATCCCTCCGGGAGTAGGGGGGAGGCAAAGAAGGGGGGAGTGAGTGAACAAGTTGCCTGACTGGGTTTAAACCACGACAGTAACACAGGCCTTTGTCCTGAGGACATGCAAATACAGCTGTAAACACGTTAAGTTCTCATGTGTGTAAGTACAGTGAATACTAGGAAACTGTGTAAATAAGTAAGTTGCCTCTTTGCTAGCGAGGGAAATAGGGTCAACATCTCTTGCAACCCAGCTCTGAATGGGTGTTCCAGCTCGCAGCTTGATCCTGCCTGACCATTTATAGATGTGACAGTTACAGAGAACAGTGGGAAGAGAATGTTTCCTCAAAGTGTCCAACTCATAAGCTTCAGTTAAGAAAAGCTTCACAACTGAAAAGTCTACTTCAGTCTGACGAGAGCACAAGACCTTCCTCTTCTCATGTTGGACAAGGATACTTACCATGGGATTAACAGTGATTCTTGGTTCTTTGAGATGTCATGCACATAGATGACTACAGCAAACACTAATTCAAATAACCTGTTAACTGTAAATCAACGTTGTTCCCATTCTGTACCACTAAAGAAACTGAGTGTTTTGGGGAAAATGATCAGAACCTTCCAGCCTTGGGGCTTGTGCTTGCAAAGTGGTAGGCACAGCCTCAGGCTGACATGACTGGCAAGAATTTGGCACCTCTGTGCCAAGAGAACTTCAATGAGACCTACACAGAGGGAGTGATCTTCAAGGGTAAGCAGGTTGGCTTCAGTCTCTACCCCCATTTTACCACAAACACAGATGCCTGACATGACATCAGCTATTCAGATGGAAAAGCAACATTAGCGTTATCTATAATACTAAAGGAACATATTATCTGCTGTAAAATAACAGGAGGAAAAAACCTCAAAACACCACCCACCCACACAAACCCCCAAAGTACCAGCAAACATGAATACATTCATTAAAGGCTCACATTCAAAATACTCTGCCTAGAGTTTGATGAGCTATTCTTCATTTGTGAAGTTCTTCATTCTCAAGTAAAAGGCTTGCAGCAGAAGGTACTCTCAAAGTGTTCTGTTCTAGCTTTATGCAGCACACATTTACTGCACAGTCAGACCACAGCTTGTACTGCACGTCACCTATAACTGCTTAGGTACAAACAACAGCAAACAGCCCAGAACAGCCTGATCAAGCTTGTCAATCTATTTCTCAGCTTTTTACAGCCACCACTTGTGCAGATACCAGTTCACTAAGCACATGTACAACAACCAATGTTTACCTCCCCCCCCACCCCGCCAAGACCAAGTTTTAGGTTTATTATAGAATACTGCAGTATAGAAGATAACATCTGGAACAAACCACACAAGATGACCAATATACTGAAAAATGACATGTTATACATGTTTATTACCAAATTTATATTCCACTATGAAACAACAGTAAGTGCAAAAAGCAGATGGAAAAAATACCACAAAGTTTTCAAGCTGTTCAAACATTGTGTGTAATCCCTTCATGTAACAGCCAAATGAGGCTCCAACCCAGTATTCTCCTTCCCTCTCTGCTGCTGTTTGACTCCAGTAGACTTTTATCTTTGACCACAGGTACTCTGAGCATGCAGGCATCACTGAGTTTATCAAAGATAGTGAAACTAGAAAGATTTAAATTTGTGCTTGGTTTAAGCCAACCTGAATAAAGGTAAATACTACAAGAATTTCCTTTTGTCTCATGAAACTTTCACAAAAGTAAGTCCTTCCTTTCTAGTATCTGTTTTTGCCTCAGACCTGCAAGGTAACAGAACCCTTCCGAAATGCAGTTCTCCATTCCTTCTAATTCTACCTCCCACTGAACGAAATTACACTTGTGCAGGATATCAGCTATCTTAGTCATGCAATTTTGTGTCCTCTCTTAGGGGAGGCAACAGAAAGCAATCAGTTCCTAGAATGACAGCAACTTTTACTATGTTCTCAGAAACATGCATGTTGTTCAAAAAAGTTTATCTTCTAGGTTGTGGTGCAAAGCAGTGAACTTGGAAGAAGTACCAATTTTCCCTGCTGCTGCAAGCTAGGCAAGATGTCCCCCTGCTCATTGCAGGGCAGTTGGATTAGAAGGGAAGGTCCCTTCCAACCCAGACCATGACTCTATGTACAAAATGCATGTGACCATCCAAAGGTATGAATACATGACAGAATTTCAACAGCACTGCACTGCAGCATCAACCAACTGGATAAACACACAAACACAGTGGTACACAAATTCTTCCATTTTCTTCTTCCCTTGTGTAAAGTAGCTGATGATACATGATCCTACAGCAAACAAACATACTTCTCAACAACTCCATAGTATTGTTTGAACTGAACCAGTTGATATTGTTTGGCTATGGAATATGGAAGTGTCCCAGAGAGAAACATGCATCAAATTGTGCTTTTAGGTTAATTTTAACTGAAACCTGGTCCGCCAAAGGAATTCTGATTTAGCTGGTTTGCTACTTCTGCTGATAACACACAGAATGATCCAATGGCTGGAGCCATCTAACGAAGCTGGTTAGAAACACAGTGTATACCTTCAAGATATTTTCTGTAACTTACATATATTCCTATAATATACACACATAAAACGGACCTACTTTTGACACAGTATACACCTCCCTGTTGATACCAACCTATCTAATCTTGTTAACTCATTCCTGTTGTTTCCCTAGAGTTACAAACACACCACAGACATACTTGTCTTGGTTCATGGGAGAGCAAAATTGCCTCCCTCCCCCGGTCACTCTTACCTCATTTACCCAGGCAAGACCCCATGCATAGCGAAGTACATACAAACATAAATACTTACATGAGGAAATTAAATATATTTCATTTAAAAAACAGAATTAACCCGTATATAATACTTTAAATAAAATTCACCTTTTATAAGAGTAAAATTTTGCTTAGAGAGCAAAAGGCAACTCCAGGAGTTCCTGAATATTTCTGTGCGCTGCTGACAGACAAGTTTCTGCTAAGAATTCCTGTGCGAGTTTGAGGTGGTTACTCCTTTTCCTTTTAAAAAAAGACTGTTGTATCAAAAGAGTCATCACAAGATCTATAGAACTGTGAAAGCAGAAAGGCCACATAACCTGGTTTATAGGAAATTTGTAAAGAATCTTTCTTTTCCTGCCCTACTCCACTCAACCCTGCAACAACAAGGGTGCCTGTTATGGTGGATGTGGCCTACAGCAAATGTAGATCAGTGTAATTATACTGATGCTTCACACCACACACACAGGTACCAGCTATGTCCCACATACACTGTAACAAGTGAGGTAAATTTTGACCATTTTACCTAATCATATGGAAACTTTAAGTTACACTATAAATCTATTATAGATTATTCAGAACCTTGGACAGGAAGGAATCAAAAAAGCAGCAGGGCAGTAATAGTTTGCTGGTTACAACTCAAGAGATCAGATTTCCAAAATGGACTTCTTTTTTGACATGGAAAGTCTGCCTCATCTTTGTTCAGAAACAGGTTCAGAACCACTCTCCATCATCAAAACACAGCATTTCAGTGTAGACAAAATCGATGTTCATTAGAAAGAACGCTAGCCTTCATCTTCCTGTTTCTAAATATAAAATAGTACATTTTGCTTTGAATGAAGTATTTTAAACAAAATTCTGCCTAAAATCAGAAATAAGTGATCAAAAAAGGCATGAAGTTTACTGCAGAACTCGCAAATACACATAATGTCTACCTGTCAAGAGAAGAGTCAGGATACTGAATTTCCAACACTTGTCTTACAGTAAATGCTCTCTGCTTATGTAAAATAAAAGAAGCCCTGAATCAAGCACCAAGGTTTTATATCCTTTTGCAACACCGAAATGTGCCTGAGAATTTTTTGTGTGCACGCAAAAATGCCCCCATTTAAAAAGATGCACAGCACACTTTGGAAAGATCTCTTAGCTTGAATGATTCACTCTTAATACATACTTTCTTATTTCTTAATCCTTATTCATTGCACCTTCCTCTGTGTGCTCTGGAAAGAAATCAACTTCTGTTAATACCTCACTAGTACAATTTCACTCTTTCAAAATGTAAATCCTGACCACCAGTTTCTGTGTTTGTAAACAGAAGTATCTTACACAGAGCTATAGGTTCTCTCCTGGCTTCTCCAAGTGGAGAGGAGTTTAAAAGAGTACAGCTTCTGAAATGGAAAAGACAATAAAAGAAATAAAATCCAAGTTTTCATATTTGTTTTCTACAGAGAGGAACTTGGACCGATAATGCTGGTCAGACTGACTGCTATCTTAAAGTTACATTTAAATGATACAGCCTGACTGCTAACTAATAAAATACTATGGCCATATGATGGGGAAACAAAAAAAAATATCACAGCACCTGTAAGACAGGTCTTACATATACCGTTTAAAAGGTTAAAACACTGAGAATGTCTACAGTAGTCTTTATATTTGCTTAAGCTAAGACAGATGCTGAAGGTGGCCTCAAAACTAAGCTTTGGTTTCTTCTTCCTTATTTTCCACAAAAGCCTTCTTCCTCAAAACTAAACAATGTTCTTTTAGCCCTCAATCCAAACACTTCTCTCTCCCACATCTTTCACATGCACGTGCCTTCCCCAACTCTACTGTAACACATCTAATGATGCCTGTACTGGATGTTTTTCCCTCATATATTATTTACTATGCTAGAAGTCAGTAATTTTTCAGACCAGTCAGTCCTCCTTTAGGATATCCATTTTTGATGACTGTGTGCAAACTGGAGCTCCTAATGCTCCAATCATGGCTGGAAGACTCTGGTTTCTTCTCAGCCCTGCCATTAAGTTGGTACCTGCATTTAAAAACACAGCTGAGTCCTGTCTCCGCAAGCTAACCTCTGGCTCCTGATCATTCCTGCAGTCCTGTGTTTCAGGGGGCTTGATCACCCTGGCAATACCCAGCCTCTTCAGCCTGTCTACCAGGTTCATCTTCTGCTGGCCTACATCTGGAGCATTACGGGAGGGCTTCAGGCCATACATTTCTTGCAAGAATGTTTCTGCTGGTCGAGAAGCCAGGAAATTTTCTGAGTGATGCACCCGAGGCTCAAACAGTGGAGGGGAAGGACAAGGTGAGCGCGAGGGAGAATTTGGTGGAGTAGAAGGAATGGGGAGAGTTCGAGGGGGCTGAAGCAGAGGCAGTTTTTCTAATATGGGGCTAGCGTAAACCTTGGCGGAGATGCCTCGTTCTTGCAAAAGTTTAGCCAGACTTCTTGTGCTGCTGAAGGTAGTGGTTGAGTCTCTTCTGTTAGTGAGAAATTCTCCAATACTAAGCCTGTAAGACATGGTTGGAGTGCTCACTACAGGGTTTCCAATACTGCTGCCACTGCTTCCAAGTGAAAATGGGGAACCCACAGAGCTGAAATAAAATAAGAATGAAACAGAGAAGATGCACGTTAGACACCTTTATACCTGCTCTGATCTGTATTTGCCTTTTAGTATACAGAAGGCTTGAGAAAAACTAAACTACTGCTATTAACTGTGACAGTTTCAGCTTTAGTAGTCTTCATATTACTGTTCTACAAAATACTTGGAAGATAGTAGGTTGATAATGAGGTTTTGGTCTAAGTACCAATGAATTTACTTTCTGTGGTCAGAAGGTAATATACTGTATTAGACAAAGTACCAACAGAGATGTCCAGTAATAACTTAGTTAAAAAAAAAAAAAAAGAACTGGAAAGGATTCAATTTCAAGCTTCCCATTTTTGTTACAACTACCTGTATGAGTAACATCCGATATGTTGCCTAGCTGCCCTCGTAGCTTTTAAAACCAGTTCACATATCAGAAGCCAGAAAGCAACTGTTTAAGCCTACACAACAACATTGAGGGTAGCAGCAGTCATCATACCTGGGAGTAACTTGAGTGACATCAGATGGGTGAAGGATCCTGCAGGTAGTAAAGGTAAACGTAGAATTTGTGGAAGACAAACACTTCCCTGGATTCGAGGCTGCAATGTGGAGAGTTTACATCCATTGAGGGTAAAGATACAGACAGGAACGAACCAAAGCAAAGTTTAAGATAATGTTATTATCACTGCTATTTTTTTTTTGTTTAATAAAGAACAAAAACAGCAAAGACAGTACTGTCACAAAGTCAAATGCTTTCCATTGAGAAGAAAACACTGCAAAATAAAAAGAGGAAAACACACTAACCATGCTTCTTACCAGTGAGTGGTATTGCTGCTGAAGTAATAGGTGGAAGGAAAATCCCTGCCACTGGCTTTGCTGCTGTACATTTCTTTTCCTGGGGGACAGACTGCTGCACTTGAAATGTTATACCTCCTCCTTCCTCATCATCTTCCTCCAAGTCAGAGATGTGGTGCACAGCATCATCAGACAAAGGGGTAAAACCTTTTGTAACAACACCTGGTCTTGGGTCAAGAATGGAGCCTAGGTTGGGTCGAGCAAGCTGTTGCCAATGAAAAAGGGTCTGAGATCCTGGTGAGGCAAAAGAGAAAAGTCTCAGAGAGCCATCACCCACTACTGTATTGAGTTACAAGAATTCATAGCATCATAGAAGAGTTAGAGTTGGAAAGGACCTTAAGATCATCTAGTTCCAACCCCCCTGCCATGGGCAGGGACACCTCACACTAAACCATATCACCCAAGGCTCTGTCCAACCTGGCCTTGAACACCGCCAGGGATGGAGCATTCACAACCTCCCTGGGCAACCCATTCCAGTGCCTCACCACCCTTACAGTAAAGAACTTCTTCCTTATATCTAACCTGAACTTCTCTTATTAAGTTTAAACCCGTTACCCCTTGTCCTATCACTACAGACCCTAATGAAGAGTCCCTCCCCAGCATCCTTATAGGCCCCCTTCAGATACTGGAAGGCTGCTATGAGGTCTCCCCACAGCCTTCTCTTCTCCAGGCTGAAGAGCCCCAACTTTCTCAGCTTGTCAATTCATACGAAAGCTGCTCCAGCCCCCTGATCATCCTTGTGGCCCTCCTACGGACTTGCTCCAACAGCTCCATGTCCTTCTATTGAGGACATCAAAACTGCACACAGTGCTCCAAGTGAATTCATGATCAGAACAACTCCAGCCAACTGGTGTCAACACTGTGGTACACATGACACACCTGGATGGCACTGCCAAGAAAAAGCCCAACATTTAGCACCATGTAAAAAAGCCAAGTAGAAAGTGATGATGAGCTAGTTGGCAAGTAGCCTACCATATACTACTACTTCCTCTTACTGCATAGCATACCTAGCTATACACACACCAACAACGACTTAGTTGGCAAAATAATATAAAATCCTTGTCGGCTGATGAGAGAAGGAAAACCATCCTCTTACCTTCAATGGGTTTGACAATTTGCAATTTTTCTGGTAGGAGAACACGGAGGTTATTGGAGCTGGCAGAGAGATCAGTGACTTCTGAGTTTGTGCCCAAGGAAAAACAGCTTTCTGTGGGTGTGCTACAACCACTAGCCCCTTCTTTCTGGTCAGCCAGCAAATGCATTTTTCGCTCCCATTCCTCCTCAAAGAACTGCTTCTCACTCAGGTAGTTCTGACGACGGAGGGAGAGCCTGTGCAGAGCTGTGACTAAGTCATTGTCTCCAGGGATTCCCGGCTGGCCAGGATTACGAGTGTCTCTGTGAGAAACGTCAAATAATAATACATATTAAGACCATTAAATTAACTATTTCTCTCCTGCACAGCAGAGTTCCACTCTGGATTTAGTTTTGAATCAGTTAGTTTAGAAAGAAGATAACAGGCTGTGTTTCCTACTTCAAATTCTTCTCAGAGCTGCTCCTCTGGGTCATTCGTGCATGGCTCTCCAACTGGTGTATGCGAGACTGAAAGGGCTTTGCTGTCATAACAGCACTTGACCTATTAGATCCAGGGATTGGCAGTGGGGCAGGAAAGGAAGAGGAACGGCCACGAGTGACATTAGCAACCCTGACGGTGTCAAATACTCGTTTCTGTTGATCCCTGCAGAAAAGACAAGCAAACAAACGTGGTTTTCATATCAATTTTTAAAAAGATATAATAAAGAAAAAGCTCTGAAAACCAGAGTTTCATACGTCTGCAGAGACCTGACTAAAAAGATTTAAGCCCAGAAAAACAGGATTGCCTAAGACATTCATGTTTTCAGTACCATTACTCTATTAAATATCAGAATTACCACTTAGTCTGACCTGAAAGACCTGGACCTTTATTGATAACCACTTGAGCATGGATTTTAGTTATTTAATTTCTACATTATGTCAGAAGCATATATAGAATTTATTACTTCTTGCTCAGAAGTAAGAGGCTTTCAGGGCTTTGAAAATTGTTATCACTCTTTCACCTATAATTACATTTGCCTAAGAGTTTTTCTATAAGTATTAAAAAGGATAAAATTAGTGCTGTGCCTCAGAGAATTTGCATCAAAAATCCCACAAATTAAAGAATGAAAAAACATCCTTTCAGCAAATTCCCAACTTCCTTATAGAATCAAATAAGAACAGTAGCTACCAAAGTTTTAAAGATTACCAAACACTACAAAGCTTTTCTTAAGTAGAAAAATTATTATAGAGGGAATATTCACTTCTATAGATTTCCAGAGATGAGTTTCATCTTACTTAATATAAGCATATGGAAAAATATTGAAATAGCACATAGATTTGAAAACATACTTTTGCTTGGAGAGAATAGATTCATCACCCTGACTCAATTCCTTCCGCATTGTCCCTTCGATTTCTGCTGCAAGAGAATCCTAGAGAAAAATGGAAACCAGAAGACTTGACAAACTAGACTGAAGTCTTCCTCCTAACTATTTTAGCAGAAAATTCCTCTAAAAAATACTCCCAAAAAATCTCCATTTGTATCGCTGATACCAGCATGTTTTGGACAAATCTTTTGGTCTCTGAAGGAAGGACTTGGGGGTAGTTATTCACCATAACTATACCTATATATTACCAGCATGGATTCAGTTCTCATTAGCAACATCTCATTTTCTTGGTAGTCTTTTTGTTGGTTTCTTAAGATAGGCTACGAGTGTAAGAGCACTGCTTAAACTGAGCACTAGCTGTAGCACATGCCAATTCCCTTATTTAACAGAAAAGGCATATAAAAAGGAAAAATAATTTTAATATCACAATGTGTAAAGTGAATGAATAGTTTCCCCAGTACATACAATTAAAAAACCATTGCCTACTACTGCTGCCGCTCCTGTAATGGCTGTTTTACTCATATAGTTGTATGATACTACAGCCCATATGTGCATGCAATACTAGCAGTACTTATTACCACAAGAAATGCTCCACATGACTGGGGGTGGCAGAGACAAGCAACAGATCTGGCTCTGCTACGTAGCAACTTCACTTCTTCTTGTGATTCGTGCAACATCCCTAAACACTCTGCATTCCGATCTTGCAACTCATGTAGCTGAAAGAGAAGAGAGACCATTACACGATGCCAGAAACCTTCAAAGAAAAGGCAGAGTGAAACTTAATTAACTCCTACAGAAACCTGTAACAACTGATTCAACACCGTAATACATTTCCAACTGCATGGCACATGCCAACATCTGGAATGGACAATAGTTAGCATAGCACCTGCACCAATTTTAATGGTGAAGCACAAAATCCAGATTAAGACCTGAAAGAGGCAAAAGTATCGGAAAATACATCAGAAAACTTTGAAAATACAGTAACTGCTGAAGCAAACGAAGCAAAAAAAGAGAACTTCCTTAAAATCTAATGAGCTACAGTATTGTTGATATCATCAGTAATATTAATATACTAAAATGCTCTTTTTCTCATAAGTACTATGAATTGTAAGACCACCCTACTTGGAACACATTCCTTGCATTTCATATTCCTTTGAACTACAAAAGTATTTGTGTAGACTTATATAATTATTATTTTCTGCCAATCATATGACTCCAACCACAATGAAAAATGAAAAGGCTATAATAAAAAAACAGTGGTTCCCATTCTCTCTTAGTTTTCTTCCTCTTGTATCCTATTCCAAACATTTATGTAAATGTGTGTATATATATATATATATGTATAAGCCTTAAGTACCTCTGCTGTGAGTTGTCTCTGAGCATCTTTGGAAGCTTGTAAGTGAAGTTTCAGCTCCTCCTTTTCAATCACATGCTGAAAGCACAAAGAGGTGCTCATCATTTTCTCAGCCAATTTCCCCCAGTTGATCCTCTGCCACACTTTCCTGAAACAGCCACTCTCTTGCAGTGTAACCCCTTGGCTTGCAAGTCAAGTTTTACTGGCTGTAAGCACTGGTGTGCATACACACACACACACACAAACACTCTCATCAGAATTCCCTTACTTCTTTGAGTTTATGTTGGAGATCAACAATCTGAGACAAGAGGGATGAGATCTCTTCCTGGTAGCGAACCAACTCCTCACTCTTCTCTGATAATTCCTCTGTTATTCTACAGATTTGAGCATTTGTTTGCCCTACAAAACATAAAAGTAATTTAATAGAGAGCTTTTCCTAACATATGATAAAAACACAAACCAAACACAAAACCCAGAAAAGATCAGTGAAAGTAAACAAAAATCTGCAACATAACCAATACTCTAGGAAATCTTTGTCTTTGGATGTCTTTGAACACCCATAAGGAAAAGTTAAATGGTGAGGAGGAGGAGAAAGAGAGCTAACTTCAAATGCAGGGATAACATATTAAGGGCTATGTAGAACCTGAACTACACATCACAAGTATATGAAATGACCATAATAAAATCCAAGGTAAGCTGCTATAAACAATGTCAAGTTACATACTGGCTCATGACAAGGCCAGATTTGGAATATGCTGAAGAAGTCAGCCTTTGAATTGATCTTGTTATTAACTATGATTTCCTGTAAGCAAAGGCATTTTGTCAGACCATGTCGATTATTAACATACACCTATCTAGGTTTTGATTCTGGTCACTATCTATTCCCCAAAGACCTATGGCATACAATTTCCTGTTTCTTTTTTGCTTTGAGCAAGCACTTCATCAAATGATATGACAAAGCAACTCAAAAAGCCAAAATATTTTTATGCAGTTAGTTTGGCTTCTACACTTGCCCTGGAAGTATATCAAAATCATATTAATTTTGACCAATCTTGCATAAAGGTGATACCACAAACTTAGTGGTTATTGTACGTCACATGTTTACTGCAGAACAAGATCCTGCCCATGGACCTGTGGACATTTAAGCTCACAGTCAAATACCTTTCTCCTGAAGATACAGATTTTGACTAGACATACTTCAAGAGAAGATTGTTTCTGTGAGACAAAAGTACCTAGGATGCCCACATGTGCTACAGAATTAGACAAAACAAAAATCACAGATATTCTCATAGGTGAGCTTGTACGAAATACCTCCTGTTTGCAAAGGATATATATTTTCTCAGAGGGACAGAATAACAACCAAGTATGCATCAATTCATAGTATTTTATGGTCATCTGGAACAAGAAAAATCAAGCAGCAACCCAGCCTTCTTTATAGTGGTTGTACAGAAAAAAGAAATCTTAAAATATAAGCTTAAGGTTCTGCACAAAGGAAGGAGCACACATCAAATGACTACAGATAAAAAAATTGTACCATCAGGTTACACAATCACCACACAAAAGGATTGTTTCTTATTGTTTCAGAATACTTAACAGGCATTTGTATAAGAGCAGCTGCAATTCTTTGCAAATAAGTACTCCCCACAGCACATATGGGCAAGTGTTCTAGAAAACTTAAAGCACTCATCAATTTAAATGCTTTGGTTCACAATATGTATTTAAAAAATAAACTAATGTGTTTATAGATTGTCGTGGTTTAAACCCAGTCAGGTAATTCATTCGCTCACTTCCCCCCCTTTCTTGCCCTCCCCCTGCTGAATCGAAAAGAATGCAACTCCCACGGGTTGAGATAAGAACAGTTTAGTAACTAAGGTATAACACAAATCACTACTGCTACCACCAATAATAATAATGATAAAGGAAATAACAAGGGAAGAGAATACATCATCTCACCACCAGCCGACCGTAACTCGCCCCCCCAGCCCGACCAACCTCTGACCGATACCTCCTCCAACCCTGCAGTCTCCCAGCCCTTCCGGCTAACTCCCAGTTGCATCCTGGGCAACGTGCTGTGGTTCACAATACCTCCTTGGTCAGATATACTTGGGTCAGGTGTCCTGTCTCTGCTTCCTCCTGGCTTCCCCTCCCCCCCGGCAGAGCATGAGGCTCACAAAGTCCTTGGCCAAACCAAAACATCCTTGTTATCAGCTCCGTTCCCGAGCTGAAAGTCAAAACACTGCACTGCACCAGCTACCAAGAAGGAGAAAAATGACTGCTACTGCTGAACCCAGGACATAGATATACAGTAATTTAGAATGAGCATTTAAGAGTCTGTGCACTGATACATTTCAGTGTCAATTTTGCAAAATGCTCTATTCAGGAAGTGTATTTTCTTGATTTTTCAGTGCCTGTAGGTTTCTGTTTAGCAATCTAATGGACATTAACTATTGTGTTCATTTTCTCTCTCTAAACACAGCACACATAACTTATGAAATATAGAGACAATTTTGCACTTGGGTAAAGAGCAAAACTTGAGTAATTGGCATAAATTACAGTGATAACTATGAAGCTGTAGGCACAAGGTATTTAAAATACCATTTTGGCATTGCAAGATACAGCCTGGATACTCACGCAGCTCTTTAACACAGTCGTTGACCAGCTGCTGTTCCTTCTCTTCATATGTAATGGTTTCTGTCTTCAGATGACAAGCCTTCAAGAAAATAATTGGTATTCCAGTTTCAGTTTAGCTATAAATATATTAATGTTATAATTTCTTATTTCTAAAATTCTTGAAAGTGAAGAGTCTCCCCTCTATCATTTCTATGAATCTCGACCTGCCCCACGTCCTTGAACTGCATGAGTCTTTTGAGTGAAAGACAGACAAGATGAACACAACTTGACCTCTTGCTTCTAATACAAAAAATGTTGCAAAAACATGCAATTTGGTAGGGAAAGTAAACCAATACACAGTAATCAGAGTAAGCAACTGAATTTGCTTCAAAACTTCTTAAGGCAAGAAATCTTGAAAACTGAATAATGTTAGCCATATCCTTTATGGCATTGAAAAGATCTCAGTAGAACAGCTTTTGTCCATATTCCCCAAATAGTCTATTTACATTGTAAATTTTCTGGGCCAGAGACTGAGTATCACAACAGGTCTGAATAACATTGAGCATACTATAACCCCCACTTCCTTTTCAGTTGTGAAGATGATATGAGGTTTAGATTGGATATTAGGAAATACTTCTTAACAGAGAGGATGATCAGGTATTGGAACAAGCTGCCCAGGGAAGTTGTAGAATTACTGTCCCTGAAGGTGTTCACAAACTGTGTGGATGAGGCCCTCAGTGATATGGTTTACTGGTGGTATGGCAGTCCTGGGGTAATGGTTGGACTTGATGATCTTAAAGGTCTTTTCCAGCCAGCTGATTCTATGATTTTATGATTCTATGATAATACTGTTCAGGTAAGTCTTCTCTGTTCAGGATTGTTTACCACTGACTCATCAAAACACTTAGTACATGGGTTTAAAGATTATACAAGCAAGTAGAGGTACAGCTACACAAATGGAGACAAACACACTTCTTTACATAATGCTACCACATGAAAAAGAAAAAAAAAAAAAAAGGCTATTTGAAGTCAGTGGAAGTTACATGGTATCACAGAATTATAGCAGTCTCTTTTCAACTCCAGCTGTTGGTTCCATGACTTTCTTAGCTATTATTTTGTCTGGCCATTTAGTCTGTATCCTTGTAAAGGCACAGTGCCTGTATTCATGTTTTATACACAAGACAGACCAATTAAAATACAGAGACTAATCATATTGCCAAAACCAAGTCTTTAAAAGAATATGAGTAGAACCTTATTAATCCTTATAATTGAATGACTGACAAAAACGTAATGGCAACACAGTGGAATTCCCAAAATACTACTAATCACAATTTATAGCAAAACAGCTTGCACAAGCTTAAGGGCCTGATGGGTCTGTATACTTTTGCTGGGTGCTTACATATGTTAACATATTCTTTCACATACCATAAGGGCATTAAGGAAGGACTACTACAGGACTCTGGAAGTAATGAGGAGTAGTGAAGAAAACAGAAGGATGTGGGGGTGGAAGGAAAGTGTTTGGGTATGACTTGTGTACAGAGATACAAAATAGTTATACACATCAAGAAAACCTCAGATGCTGGATTTTTTAACCATCCTGATCTATTTCATATCCAGCATAGAATCACAGAATCATAGAATAGTTAGGGTTGGAAAGGACCTTAAGATTGTCTAGTTCCAACCTCCTTGCCATGGGCAGGGACACCTCACACTAAACTATGTCACCCAAGGCTCTGTCCAACCTGGCCTTGAACACCGCCAGGGACAGAGCATTCACAACCTCCCTGGGCAACCCATTCCAGTGCCTCACCACCCTTACAGTAAAGAATTTCCTCCTTATATCCAATCTAAACTTCCTCTATTTAAGTTTGAACCCGTTACCCCATGTCCTATCAGTACAGTTCCTAATGAAGAGTCCCTCCCCAGCACCCCTATAGGCCCCCTTCAGATACTGGAAGGCTGCTATGAGGTCTCCACGCTGCCTTCTCTTCGCCAGGCTGAACAGCCCCAACTTCCTCAGCCTATCTTCATACAGGAGGTGCTCCAGTCCCCTGATCATCCTCGTGGCCCTTCTCTGGACTTGTTCCAACAGTTCCCTGTCCTTTTTATGTTGAGGACACCAGAACTGCACACAATACTCCAAGTGAGGTCTCACAAGAGCAGAGTAGAGGTTCAGGATCACCTCCTTTGGCCTGCTGGTCATGCTCCTTTTGATGCAGCCCAGGATGCGGTTGGCTTGCTGGGCTGCGAGCACACACTGAAGCTGGCTTATGTCCAGTTTCTCATTGACCAACACTCCAAAGTCCTTCCCTGGAGGGCTGCTCTGAATCTCTTCTCTGCCCAACCTGTAGCTGTGCCTGGGATTGCTCCGACCCAGGTGTAGACCCAGCATAGATGATATACACTGTAAGTATGACATACCTTTGATCGGAGAGCAAGGTTCTCCTCTTCCAGCTCTCTGAGTTTATCTTGCAAGACATCCAGCTGCAGCAGATCATTTGGTACATTGAAAGACTCATTGAAACGAAGTGGTGTGGAACAGCTGGAATCTGTTTCACTCTCCTCAGAAGCAATAGAAACAATACGAAGCAGGTCATCCTTCTTTGACAGTTCATGCTGCAGCTGGTTAACCTACGACAAAAGATCACCAGCATGTGAAATATACTTTAGCTACACAATATTGCAGTGTATTAATTATGCAGCCTCTTGAACATCATTGCTTCAGTCTAAAATGTGATTAAAAATAACTCACAGGTCATGATTTCTATTTGCACACAAGATGGAGCCTCTATTTTATAGGAAGTTCACAAAATCACAAGTTTAAGGTAAATGTTTAATGTAAGGGAGACTGAAAAAAAACCTACTTTTTTAATAATTTACTTCAAAATTATTTTCCAGCTGCTTTAATACATGTTTACATTTTAACATACTATCATTTTGATTATGACTATTTTTCTGAAATGTAACTTCCTGGGACTCCCAGGCTATACATTAAATGAACTGTAGGGCAAATAAAAACAAGAGAAGAGACAGATCTCATTTAGATATGTTCTATATTGCATATCTAAATTTTTATACAAATACGTAAGTTCATACTGTCCTACACCTAATCACAAGTATGTTTGATGAGTATGTTTTTATTACCAGCAAACTGTTTTATACAACCAGCTGAATTGATTTCACTGTACTTAGACTGTATCTGTTGACTCCACTGTTAAAAAACTCGAGATACTTTACCATTTGTCAACTATTCTTTTTTAAGAAAGAAAAACTAAGAAAAGATTAGATTGAGAATCTGCTTGAAGAGATGGAGTAAAGACCTTGAGCAGAATTCAGTTTTTGTTACATTTCATTTACCTATTTATTCTTGGTGTAAGCATCCCATTAAGACAGCTCATTTTCTGGCCGTTTCCTGTCCTATGAAGTTGTTACGTAGCAGGTCATATCAGACACCAGCTACTTATTTTGACTTAGATTATCAGCTTCTTAGTTTAATGGTAGGATATCTGACTGATGGTCAAAACAACCACTTTGAAAATGTAATCCTGCTGTAGATATATCATAATAATACCTAACATTCTCATAATTTCTCAGTCATTACAATACGTAGTCTTCACAGTCAATTCTTAGACTAAAAAAGCTGATTGAACAATGACAATTAGGAGAATGACATCTAAGCATACTTCTGTAGTTTGAGAGCTGCAATCACCTGCTTTCACAATGCCTTACCTTCATTAACTAAAAAAAAAAAAGGAAAAAAAGGAAAAAAATAAAAAAAAAATACCACCAAAAACAAACAAAACCACAAAGGGGTAGGGGGAGAGAAGATCACTCACTCGATCTAGAGTTTGCCCTAACTGTTCTTCTAGTGCTTCATTCTGTTCCGTCAGCAGGTGATTTCGCTTAAGGAGGGCTTGTCCAATTCGAGCTGCCAGTTCCAGGTCCCGATCTTTCTGCTCATAAAATGAGAACTGATGTCTGCTTTTGATCAGATAAGGTTTACATTCAGAGTAGTTTTAGATTTTTCTAACTGTTGTCTAATAATCACCACTCTGAGATCCCCCTTCACTCTCAAATGGAGCAACATTGTTAAAACAATGACTAATGCTTCATTATTTGGATCCTGAACATATGCATAACGGTGTTTCTTAATGCAGCACATTCTCTTAGACAATCACACGCAGTAACAGGGTGAGGGGAAAGCACCAAACCTGGGGACAGTTTTGTTTTTTGTCCTGAGTACTGGAGATGTTATATGGGCTTTGTTAAATCATATGAAGAAGCAACATTAACTTAGGCCTGTAGTCTTTCAAGTGACACTTTCTCCAGAACAGGCTGCTCAACTTGAATAATGATGACAGGGTAAAGCAAAGGAGCAACAGGAAAGCAGAAAGCTGTTTCTTTCTTACACTCACTGGCTCCATGAGTGACCATAGTTTTGCTGATTTTTATTTAAATGGGCAGCTTCTCATTACCTATATGTTTGATAAGCAGCCCCTGAAGATAACTGAACTAAAATTTCCAGTAGCTGAAAAAGCCCTTCCTCAAGTACGTGTCCTGAAATATATTGACATTGCATTACAGAGACGAGCATACCTCAGCTAACAGATGTTTCACCATGTCAGCATCACTGTAGGCTTTCTGCTCCACATTATCTGTGCCAAGAATTGAGAAGAGAGAAACATACTTACTAAAGTAGCTTAAGAGTAGCTTAAAGTAGCTTAAAGACGACTGCTGGGAAGGGAGAGAGTTAAAACTCAGAAGGATGATGTTTACATATAAACACAGTAGTTACCTAGTTAATGAAACTAACAGAGGCTATGAAAATGCATCTTAACTTCAGAAATACAAAACAATGCTCATTTGAGAGACTGATACAGTGAAGTATTGAACATTTACAGCTTTCAGCAATATTAGCTAAAACTTGAGGTACTTGCACATCCTTCAGATTTAGGAAAAGGAGAAAAACCTCTTAAGATCAACTTTTTGAATACAGCTAAACTATTAAATCATCAAACCTGCTGTGGAAGAGGGAAGAGTGTATTGGAGCATACGCAAATACAGCTGAACACACCTGCAGACTTTACCCTTGAAACAAAACTCCCATTAGCATGTGTGACATCTACACACACGAACTGAGACCCCAGAGACTAATCATGAAAATGTATTTATTAAATGCTCGATCTTCTTGGAAACAGCTTAAAAGAAATGGGAAAATGTATGTCTGCATTTTCAATGTAGCTATAAATCCTATCTTACTGATGAGAGTGACTGACATTAGAAGAGTTTGTAAAACTATTAAAGAACTCGAACAAGTAGGACTTGAAAAACAGGACTGAGTGAAAAATAACCAAAGCATGAAGAATTTGTGAGAACTCTGAGCAAAACACAGTGCTGAAACACAAAGCACTGGTCTGCTCTAGTTTTTGTCCTGAGAAACAGAAGATGCTAGTAAAGGAGAAATCTTAATTACCTTGTGTAAATTTGTGAGATCCAGCCAAGGAGGAGGAAGGAAGTTCAATAAGAGCTAGAGTGACAGAAAATGAAAGATACAGCAGGGAGGGAAGAAAAAGAGGAGAAAGAATTAAAATGTATGGAAATATGTGACTTTTTTGCAGGCATACACCACCACCAAAAAATAAATGAATGTGCAAACACAGTTTTTATACTAGTAAATCTTTCTTAGAACTTTTAAAGAACAATTTAAACACGATTCCCTTCAGAAACAGAATTATACATCTCACTTGCAGCTGATGGATGTTTGTCCTTGTCTAAGTCCAAGAGAAATCTGCTATTTTTGCTTTATGGAATCAAGATCATGAAAGTAAAGAAGGCAGCAATATAAGTTTAACAAATACAGAGTATCTGCTTCAACTGAAGGTCTAAGTTAACCTGATTTGAAACTAATTCCATCATCACTGCACTGCAAAACGAGATTACTATGGATTTGGTCTAAATCTATTTCTGAAGATTTCTTGACTCTTCTACCTTGTTTAAATCTGATTCATACTCTGAATATACAGTACTACTGGCTCACAGCTTTTGTTTGTTCTTGTTGAGAACTGCATGTTTAGTTGCAAGATAGTGAAGTACCAAGCTGAAATGAACACTAAATTTATTTACAGATGTTATGAGCTATGTATGTCCTTTATATACATAATGCCCATAATTAACCTTTTAAAACACAACACTAAGGGGCTATGCTAGGAACAAAGCCAAGTTGTGTTTCAGCATACAAAGAAATTGTCTTGCAGTCTTAAAAGACAGTAGAACAGAAAGAACAATGTAGGAGAAAAAGGTTTACTTAATTCTTTCACTAAGGTTTTAACACACACAAAAAAATCATACTAACAAAACAAACACTTTCTGTCAATCAGATCAGTAGACATAAAAACCCAACACATGCTTTTCAACTATTCAGGAGCTGTGAACTTACAGCAGGGTCATTTACTAGTTGTATTTCTAAGCAGGGCAAAAATAGAAACTCTTCACAAAATTTAAAGTACTCATCTATCAGTAGAATAATGTGCATTTGGGAAGTCACTTTTACTGTATCGCTTGGTTGCTGATACTGGTTGCTGAGAGGGGACTCCAAACTCATCTGGCTTACTACTATTAGGAAAACTCACTGCAAATACATAAGTTTCAGCCATTACAGGCAGAATATTATAGCCAGTTCTCCTACAGTAACTGTTCCTACTACACGATTTCAAGTTAAAAGTATCTATCCAGTGCTAAGTCACCTTAATACAGATTTACACACAAGGTTACTCAGGTAGGTAGGTTCCTAAAATTGAAAGCAAATATATTTACTCTGATAAATGAAATCACAGAACTAAGAGCTTCAAAACTTAGCTCTATATATACACAACCTTTGTTATTTTCTCACAGTACAGGATCAAAATTATACATAGTTTAATTCTCTCTTGTGAACACGCACACATGCAATCTCTCTTCACTCACCTTGCCAAGTGAAAGCTGCGAGCAACTCTTCATTTTGCTTAATATTCTGTTGTGCCATGTCCCTTTATTCACACACACAGTAGTTCTAAAGACAGATGCTTTGTAATTCAGGGCTTCTTACGCTATCACAGTTGAAGTAGAATATATTCTTCCACCTCACTGAAAACACTGTCAATGGTAACTCAACTGGTCATTGGATAAACCTTCTAATAGGCAGCAGGAGTCATAAAAAGAGGAGGAGCTCAAGTACAGTAACTCTTGTGTTGTTGGTGGTGGTTTGTATTTTTCTCTTGGATGTCAGCTACAAACTCGCTCAAACCATGAATTTAACAATCTCTTTAGGAAAGTTATAAAAATGTTTCCATACCAATATGGTGAGGGGCAGAGATATACGTAAAACCCCCAAGTTATGCTTCAAGAGTATGATTCTCACATTTATTTCCTAACATTTCACCTAACAAGCTATTCAGCAATGATTATAACTACATCTTGATTCATATCTGTATTTGTCTGGGATCTTCCCAATATCTCCCTGTAAGCTAATATGATGATTACTACATTTATTCTCTTTGGACAATTTCTAGGAGACACATAAGCCATATTTATCTTGAGTTTATATGACTCAGCAGTTATGACAGTGTTCTGTATATAATGCCTAACAGTTATCTTTTAACTTAATTGCCGTTATTGTGACAGCTCATTTATGATAATGTCAAGAAAGCACTTGTGGCAACTGGTCAAAAAACTCTCACTAATAGTTTACTATTTCCACAGGACATTTTCTATAGTTAAAAAGAACTTCTTACTAGGTGAAAGAGAAAGACACCACTTTTTGTAGTACCTTGACTGCCAAATAATACATGACTGCTTTCATCAAAATATTGTTGATAAAACCCTTCCACTGCATTTGGAAATGCAGGCCCACACTGCCTGAAAGTCCCTCTCTCAGAGCTCTGTGCTTCATCACGCCTGAATGGCAGGTGTTGACCAGAGAGAGAGCTTCAGCAGAACCACATTTGATGTAAAGTTCCTTCCAGCACTGGCAGAATCAGATCCCACCTCTTTATAATTAAAACTTAGAGAAAAGCACACACACCACTGCCTAAGCAACTGCTTCCAGTGAGCAACTAAAAGAATCATTTATGCTTTCAGTATTATTATCAGACTGAATAATAACCATTAAGCAGCCTTCCAAGTACTTTCCACAGTTAAAAAAAAAAAAGAGTTTCAAGCCTGCAAGTTCAACTGGTAACAAGTCTGCTTTAAATTGTCAAATACTGCATTCTTAGGAGGTAGTATTTTACTACTCACTTGCTATATACCCTGGGTAGAGGCTTAAAGCACAACTGACAACAAACACTTCAGAGGTGGAATGTACAAGGAAGATATAACCATTATAGTTGTTTACAAATACCAAGATTGTATATAAATACAAAGTTGACTCTCCCAAGTAGTTTGTTCTAACAGTTCTAATACATGGTGGAAACAGGACTTCCCCATTTCTCTAAAGTGACTGTAATGCATTCCTCTCCTTCCACAGGAAAACACTTGAAACTACACACAAGTAAGTTTTCAGTTCTTTCGGTAGCTTTCTATACATTTGATTTTTAAGAAATTAAAGGTTTCTTGAGGCAAGTGGAACCTGCCTGTTTTCTTCCTTATGATCTGCTAGGTTTACGGATAAGTTAAGTATTTCCAAAACTGCAAGGCAGTGATCAACACTGATCTAGTACCCACCTATCTGGCATTCACAGCATTTCTGTCTCCAGCAGAAACCATTAAAGGCATTTCAAAAGCAACACTGACCAAAAACATTCAGGGCAAACATAATCAAAAGCACCACAGCCTCACTAATGTTCCTGAAAACAGAGCTCCATACTGCATATTTCTTTGTAATGCATCTAATCTATTGCAGTTCTAGGTTCCTGCCCCTTTTTCACTGTCACGTTTCCACTCTTATTTCTGTGTGAAATCTAATGATCAGGCAGTTTGTAGGACATGCTAGTCAGCCTTCAGAATTGCACTGCTGAACTACAAGCACTTCCCCTGAACTCAGCTTTTTCTTCCACCTGTCTAAAGCCTTCCAGATTTGACCACTATAATATTAAAAAAATTTATTTCATATATAGAGTTTTTTCTTCAATAGTTGGAAAAAAATATAGCCTAGGCCCAGATATACTCACTCATGTAATGGAAGGGCTCCTCATCACGAACTGGAGAAGAGATTTCAGGAAGATGGCTGCAGCAGGCAGGGGACTGAATCCAGTCTTGATTTTCATACAGATAGAGAGAGTCCACTCGCAACTTGTAATCTGGCAACTGTTCTTCTAGCATGCTCACCAACTCTACCTCAGGAAGATCCTCACTGGAGCAGACATCTGAAAGTGCATAAATGCCAATAATAGTACATTTCTATTAAAAATGACATATATTTCCTATTGCTATAGTTGTATACATTCTGTATACAGTAAAATAGTTTCTAAACTTTCAGTAAATTTGAAAATAATTATTCTATACTGGAACAAGCTACCAGAATACTTATCAAATCAGCATTTGATTTACATTGTAATATTTGCACGTTCCTCATTCCCAACTGACTCCACAACTTCCTAGAAAGCTGGTTTAGCCATGATCCCCTCTGACTTAATAGGATGTATGGAATAAGTTTACATTTCTAGCCTTTCCTCTTCATTGAGCTAAACTACAGAACTACATTCTACCACTACTGACTTTGTACGGTTTCATTGGCTTTGGCATGGTTACACTTCCCTTTTCTGAAGGAAATTCAGTTTTCTTGTTCTTCTGCTTATCTTTTTGTTTGGTGAGGAACACAGGTGTAAATAATCTTAAAGTAACTACAAAAATGAACAGAATAATGCCTTGAAATCAGGGAACAAATATAAAAATCCATTATTATGATACAGAATCATGCTCCAAGAAACATGATACTTAAAATCCAGGAAAGGAAGTTTACCACTTCCTGTGTCAAGCTCCCCCCTTAATCCCTTCACAATTATTGGGGGAAAACCCCAACAAAACAAAACACAAAGAAACATTAATTCTAAGTTGCTAAAATACTGCATATTGAAGGTATACAATGACTTTCTTTCCAACATTTCCACTAAAGATGAACACTATCTTCAGTAACTTTCAATGGAAAAATGCCAATGTTGATTACTGACACTGAGAATTTTTACAAACAACATTTTACAGTGGAAGCTGATTTTACAAGCTAGTAAAGGACTCACCATTTTTGTTCATTTGCTGTATCACAGAAGCAATACAAAGAATGTGAAACTTAAGATTGTTTTCAGGTTGGTGTTCTGTAACATGTTAGATATATTCATGCTTTGTAACAGTAATTCTTCAACTTACCAGAGATGCTCTCCAAGCCCCTGTGATCAAAATTCATGAGTCCTTTCTTCACAGTTCACTTCTTTGGAAATAGCATTCTATAGTCAGATTGTGCGCTGTCCCTTTATTGCTTTGGTAGAAAGATGGCTTTGCTCTAAATACAGAGTAAATGAGAGCCATCAAGCCACCGAGACACTTAAATTCGACATCAGCTCACTTCTGTAGACTGGACTCCGGATCGATTGCTATTTAAGAACATGCTTATTTCATCTTGGCTACTACTGATCAGAAGTATCTATAGTATATTTCATGTAAGCTTCACAAACTTCTCAGCTCAGCCATCATCTACAAATAAAACAAAGAGAATGCCAAACTTTAACAGACAGTGCTCTTTCAAAGGAGATAGGTAAATTAATGTCTCAGTCTGAATTTCCTCCCTGTACTATCACCCTAAGAACGTTAATTTCCAGTTTACACATTACATGTAAAACGTAGCATTAAAAATAGTCTTTTCCCTGCAGACATAGCATGTCACCTTCAGCACGCACTTTGTCAATTACCTATTTGTCTATACCATTCCTCCTCTTCCATGTAATAGTGCATGACAGGCTCATTCACTGAAATGAGACATTTCCCTTTTACTCTAAAGGACAGCAGCTTCATCTAAACAGAATTTTTCTTCAGGCTACTACATTTATTTAAAGCAATGGATTCTAAAGGCAGGATTTCAAACCCATCATTCTTAGCATTTTGATTGTCAAAAAAAAAAACTTAAAACCTAAACGTTTTATAGTATTGTTTGCTTTTATCTCTTCCCCTTTAGAAGTCCGATAATTAGAAATTGGATCTATCAGACATTTACTTTGTTGATCATGACAAAATTTGTGTTTTCTGTTCAGCAGGGTCTCATTTAAGCCAGAAATGAAGCTGCCATGACTAACTGAGATAACCTATTAGAACAGTTTAATAAAGTAATAATTCTGCTGTTCCCTTGTCAAGACTGGTCAATCACCTTCCATGTAAAATACCACAGTAGTCCTAGATGACCAAAAAATATAAAATGGAAGAGAACTGAAGTCTCATTTTCCCTCTTCCTACATAAATATAAAATTATCTTGAAATCTTACATCAATTTCAAATTTGCTCAAGATCTCCCATCACCAAGCACAACAATCAGAGGTTCATCTCCCTGTCTGTGGCAACCCCTCATTTGACAATTTTAAAATAGACAGTTCAGGAGCTTTTTAAAGCAAGCCTACAGCCTGTCAGTTTATCCGCTTGAAGACTTTGGCCAGAGACCAAAAAAGAACTTTATTAAGATCAGCTCATACTTGTGAGCTTTATTTTCTTGTTTCATCATTTATTTCTTTATATTTATTATAATTTATTTACCGGTTTTAATTATTATCCATATATAAATTATTAAAACCAGTAAGACTGAGATTTCAGAAATATCTGCTGTCTGAAAGCACAGCTGCTTCCAACATTAGTTTGTGATTTTTTGAGAGGCTGTTTTTTAAATGGATTACTGAAAAGCATTAACTGCACCCACACCCTTCTAAACCAACTCAATACAGCAGAATATGCTTATGAAGACTGCTGTAGATCCACACAACCAAGATGACGTTATCATGTAATAAAAAGAGTCACTGTATAGCAAGACAAAATTCAGCAGCATAGGACAGTTTCTTCACACCTCTGAATCTTTTTTGTTTGAGTTTTAATAATGTAAAAATGCATGTTACATCTTCTCAGGATTGGATTTAATCTCTCTTCTCAGTACTGCAAAGCAGAAACAGTATTTATTGTGGGTCAATCACAGTTCAGCCAGAGGGGAAAAAAAAAAGGAAAAAGATAAAATAATTTGGCTCAAAGTTTTCTAGAGCATCAGGCCAACACATGGCTATTGAACTGAAAGGGCAACCTCATTTGTAAAACCTTGGAGAAACTTGCAAGATAAGCAAACACCATAAAAGTTAATGCTCACATTTCCAGTGTTTCTCACAGTTTAGTTTAGTATGCTGTGGGGCAACTACTTCTCTGTAAATTCAGTCAGCTAATGCAATGTGCAGTACCACCCTGAAAGTGACTCCATGACCCTTTTATTCTGCAGCTATAAAACCATTTCCTACGTGCAGCTTTCTCCCACAAGTTACAACTATAATTAAATACATTTGGATAAAACCCATAAAATTTACAACATGGCTTTAAAATACATGACCGTGCTATAAAAAAATAGTCTAGAAATTAAAACTATTAAATCATGCAGAAAGACACACACAAAGCAGAAACCACAAAACTTCCTAAGGTATTATTTTTAAACTTGATTTATAAAGATGTCAACTGTCAATTTACTATATTCACACAGATGTACTTAGCAGTTTTGTCCCCCTACTCCCTCACATGCCAATTTCCCATTGATGTTTGAATCTTTTACAGATTAATTGAACATACTAAAAACAAGGGGAATTCAAATACTGGAGAAGGGCCTATATGCAGGAGTGGTGCTCTCAGGTGGCTTTCTTCAGGGAAAGCTCAAGAGAAATGGAAGTATCAAACAACATTTTACCTATCTCGATCTGCATATTTCCATGCTCTCTAAATTAAATTTTATTCCATGATGTGTGTTTCACATTTGTCCTGGTTTCAGCTGAAATAATTTTCTTCCTAGTAGCTGGTGCGGTGCTGTGTTTTGGCTTTAGTATGAGAACAATGCCGATAACACACCAACGTTTTAGTTGTTAACCAGTGCTTATCAAGGATCAAGGACTTTTCAGTCTTCCATGCTCTGTCAATGAGGAGGGGCACAAGAAGCTAAGAGAGAGCACAGCCATAACTGAAATAGCCAGAGGGATATTCCATACCATAGAAACCATGCTCAGTATATTGCTTGGTATATAAACTAGGGGGAGTTGGCTGGGGGAGGCCTGGTTGCTACTGAGCACTGGCTGGGCATCACAGGAAGTGGTGAGCAATTGTACTGTGCATCACTTGGGGTTGTGTTGTGGTTTTTTTTTTCCCTTGGGGTGGGCAGAGTTCATTCCTTCTTCTCTCCTGCTCTCTCTTTATTTCCTATTATTATTATTATTGGATTTATTTAGTAAATTATTCTTATAATAATATAATTCTTATCTCAACCCATGGGCATTTACACTTTTTCTAACTCTCCTCCCCATCCAACTTGGAATGTGTTTGGGGGTGAGTGAGCGGCACGTGGTACTTAGTTGCTGGCTGGGCTTAAACCACAACGACATTTCAATTATCATGTGGCTTGAAACAGTAAGCTAAAACCAGGAGTACTTATAGCTCTCTCAAGAAAAAGATCCTTGTAGAAGTGAGAATTAGTCCCTGGCCTTTTGCATTTGCCCCATGGAATCCAAGCTGCTCTGAATTTTGCTAGATCATCAGTGCATGGAAAATGAAAGAGAAACTCAAAAAGAAAGGCAATGCTGGAGCCTCTTCACACCAAGAAGTACTTTCTAAGTGTGGAGGGCTATCACTTACGACTCAAGCAATATTCTTACTGTTCACCCATGGTGTAACAAGACCTGACAAAACTCCCAATAAAAATGTACAAAAATGAAAGCATAACCAAAATAACAAAGAGATAAAATAAGTTCTCCTGACCACATGACAGGAGATTTTATTAATTTCTCCTTCAGTGACTCAGAAGATCTCATCCAAGATTAACTTGCAAAAGCAATATTGAGTAAAGCCTTAGAGAAACTGAAATGGCTATAAGAGCTTAAAAATTATTGCCTTATCTTTATAACTACCTCCCTGAACAATTCAAGTTGTGCCAATTTATTTCAGACTGCTGTTCTGAAGACATTCTACCTCTAGAGAGCTCTAATTCAAATTTGAATTATCAGATAGGTGAAATGAGTTGCTTTTACAACTGGAAACTGTAGACAAACAAATGTATGCATTAACTTTTTTGTGCATAAAAAGTTAAAAACATATCCAGAATACTGGCATCTATACTGAGAACATCAAAACTCAAACATAAATATCCTGTTATTTCTCCTGTTTTCCATTTGTTGAGAGCAGCAACACATGAGTTGACTTCTCACAAGTACATGGAAAGATTTGCTTCTCTGTACAATTACAGGGTGCAAGAGACCAGGCCACAGCCAACACAAATTTTCAAAAGCAAAGAAGATTCTAGCTTATGATTAAGAGAGAAGGCACCATCCATTTTCCAAAAGGAAACTGAATGAGTCAATTTTCCTGGGATGCCAAATTTTACTGCTATGTAAATATGCAATTAAAGAAAAAAAAAAAAAGAAGTATCAAGTCATTAACACAGTACTTTTTTATTACTACAATTGGGATGATGTCAAGCCAGCTAATAACAAGAAACATATTTTGCATTTCAAGGTTAATAAAACAGTTCTATTCTCATAGCAAACGTGACCATGCTGAGTTGCTGCCAAAACATTCCTGTGACTAGTGCTCAGAAGCAGAGGCCAAATCCTTCAACACTATATTGTATGAGATGAAGGACAAAGGACTATATACCAAAAAACAAATCTATGTGAACACAAACTTTGTCACAATTAACACTTGCTGTGTGCTTCAGACCTATTATTTTCAGCCACTACTATCCCTACAGAAATCCACTTAGTGCGTGAGTTTCTCTCATGTAAGGAAAAAAAAAAAGCGTCACTTAAAAGAGTATGCCATGACAATCCTAATAACAAGTGTAATAATCATAAGCAAACCTGCAACAGACCTTCAATCACAATTGAAGAAAGGAACTGTAAGAAAACTGTAAGAAAACATAAAAAATATAAGAAAGGAACTGTAAGAAAACAAAACAAAAATCATAGAATCATAGAACAGTTAGGGTTGGAAAGGACCTTAAGATCATCTAGTATGAAGACAGGCTGAGAAAGTTGGGGCTGCTCAGCCTGGAGAAGAGAAGGCTGCGGGGAGACCTCATACCAGCCTTCCAGTATCTGAAGGGGGCCTATAAGGATGCTGGGGAGGGACTCTTCATTAGGGACTGTACTGATAGGACAAGGGGTAACGGGTTAAAACTTAAACAGGGAAAGTTTAGATTGGATATAAGGAGGAAATTATTTCCTGTTAGGGTGGTGAGGCACTGGAATAGGTTGCCCAGGGAGGTTGTGAATGCGCCATCCCTGGCAGTGTTCAAGACCAGGTTGGATGATGCCTTGGGTGATATGGTTGAGCGTGAAGATGAAGCCACAAACACTTCTTAGAGGATGATGAATATCAAGGGGGTCATAAAGCTGGCCAAAAAGATTCCTTCATCCTATTTATCCAGAGTTATGCCAAGCCAGACTCACTTTTTCTCCTTGTCGGTCATCTGCAGTAACCCATACCTGTTAAGTACATGTATATATGCTTTATGTATATATGTACACTGTTGAATACCACTGCTTGATGGTTAAGACTTTTTAAGTCCTACATGCTTGGAGGTTGTTTACAATACGTTTAGTACACAGTGTAAAAATAGCATATGCTTAATTGAAGTCTAACTTTGAAACTATGAAGGCTACCTACATGAAATACCTGTATCAAGTTTTATTAATTCCTAATTCTATTTCACCCTTATAACATTGCTACAGGTATACATGATTTCTTTCAGGTAGAATTTTTTCTTCTGGAGAAAAAGAACCTGCAAGAAATGATGTATACATATAGTAATGTTACAATCACAGGGGAACCAATCTTTTGGTTTTTTTTTCAGAAAATAAAGAACTGTCATTAACTGAGCATTTGTTGGCTAGAGTGTACAATAAAGTAATATATACTCTTGAGGCAAGTGGTGTGCCATTATTTCATTATAAAGGTTGTTAGAAGCTTCTTTTAAAGTTGAAGCTTGTTCCCTATATAGCTGAAGTTGAAGTTTGTTCTCTATATACTTGAAGTGGACTAAAATAACATTTAAGCTAACTGAAATCATTAATACTTCCAGTTGATGCATAGCTAAATTCACCCAAGGAAGTAGTTTAAGTTTCTTAAAATACACCCCAGCTAGTGCTCAGTCTTCAATTACAATTCTGTACTTATTAGAATAAACCACGCAGAACTCAGTCACCAGAGTATCACTAGCAACCTAACTAGATGAAAGGATCAGTCATTTCTTTTGTAACCAACTCTGTGAAAATGGTACTTTTGTATCTTCTTGCAAAAATAATCAATGAATTACATTTATCATTCCTGAAAGATTCCTACTACACAAGATTAATTCAAGCCCATTATTAGAGGCAAACCACGATCAGAAAAATCTGCGATTTTCCAACACTCTACTCGTTAAGCCACATTTTCAGATACTCGTAATAGAAACCTGATACACTGATTACTAATCTCTAATAGGTGACACCACCACTACAGCTCACAAATTTCATGTATTCGATTTTCCCCCAATTTAGGTTCAGTGTAAATGTAATTAGAGAAGTCTATTTTTACTCAGAAATACATCTTTTAAAAGGTAACAAGTATCTGAAAGAAAACCTAAACAGCATGTTGTGTGAAAAGTTATTTACTATTTGCATCAGACTCTTGCAATCAGTCAACAGTAACTCTGAAACAGCCAAAAACCAAACACATATGCAACAACCCACAACCGAAGATTGCATTAAAAAAAAAACAAAACAAAACACCAAAAACCAACAAGGACGCAACACGACATAGGACTTTTTCACTAGGACGGTTGACAGGACAGAAGACATTTACTGATAGCCTTACTACAGTTTAATCAGCTGATCCGAATCTAACAATGTGATTAAACAGCTGACAGAAGCCAACATCTCCTTGCCCTCAAATCCATATTTAAGCAGGACCACAACTAAAATGTCATCAAGCTTTGCCTCCTAAGAGGCAGAATCCTGCAAGGACAGCCCATACGGCCATGGGTACTCCCAAGGCAGGAAGGAACTCCGGAGCTCGCTGAAGGTCACGCCGCCACCGCGCCTGCAGCCACAGCCATCATGCGCAGCCAAAACCTAGCATCTGACTCCTATCTATGCACACATATTGAACGCATAAAGCTTAATGTACTACCAGTCTACCTTACCACCGTGAAAATAGCTCCGTCAGCTGCAACACACGAACGAAACAAGAATTCTTTATGCCGGTACAGCGCCGAGGATTTCCCCAGAGGAGCGTGGGACGTGCCGCGGCCCAGCGGGGAACGGCCCCGAGGGAGAACGGCTGAAGGACGCAGCACCGAAAGGGTTAACGCGTGTGGTAGAGAGGCGGCAGTACACTCCCTCATCCCTGGGCCTACAGAGCTACCCGCCAAGCACCTCTTACCCGCCCCGCGCTTCCTCCGGCGCTCCTCCTTCCCGCCGCTGCCCGAGGCCGACGGGCGGTAGCCCCGCATGTAATAAATCAGCGACTGAGGAAGGACGCCGATGGCTTCCGCCCGGCTCCAGCTCCCGAACTACAGCCCCCAGCTCACCGCGCGGCGCCGAGGGGCCGCCCGCCCTCCCGCCGGCGCAATCGACGAGCCCCACAATGCGCCGGGCCGCTGCGGTACGCCCAGCGGCTCCTCAGGGGCTGGAAGCGGGGTGGGGTTCCAGGGCTAGCGGATCGGCTCGGCGGGCCCGCCGGCCGCTGACCCCAACCTCAGGTGGCGGCTGGTAGGAGCGGGCCCTGCCTCCCTGCAGGGCCTCCCGGGCACGCCAGGGCTCCCGGCAAGCCGCGCCTTCAGCACGGCGACGGGGGAAGGCAGGCGGGCCGGGGAGGGGGAAGCGGAGCACGCCGAGCCCGAGAGCCGGCTGAGGAGAGCGGCGGCTGATCCCGGTCCCGGCAGCCACGGGAGGAAGCGGAGAGGCGGGGGCAACGATAAACGGGCGTCTGGCGAGGGAGGAGGGGATTCGCCGCGGAGTGCGGGTGTAACGGAGCAATGAGGCGCTTTGCTGAGAGAGCCGCGGGGAGTCGGCCTCTCGCGTTCCGTTACTTCTGCCACGGACGGATCATCTAACTCGAGATACACGATCGAGAGCTGTCTCCGTTGCTCCAAACACTTAAGTAGACTCGAGCTGCCCGGCGTCAGCAGAACCGGAGTAACGTGCGTTCGCGGTACGTGGGCTTTGGGCTCCAGAGCCTTCGCACTCCTCCGGCTCAAAGGCATGTTTTTCGGGTTTTCTTTTTCCCCTATATCGCTCACTGCATTTGAAGCTTTGGCCAGGCTGGAATGAATGTGCGAGTTCAGCTGTGCAATACCGTCACTATCTGCAGGACAAAAAAAAACCCAAAAGCCTGCAGTACAGAAAGAAAAATGTGGAAATGGGGAAAAGATTTATGTAGGGACATGATCCAAAACCGCATTAAAAATGGAAGCAATGTTAAAACTAGATAAAAAAAATAAAAATCTTACATTTATAATGTTACTTGCACAATTGTGGAACATGGGTGATTCTGTTGGCTGGCGATACCCCCTTAAACAAATTCTACTACAATTTGACTCAGTTTATATAGCTATTATGCCACTATTCTTCACCTTAGCTTTTGTGGTTTCATATTCCAAGAAACAGAATAAATTATCTTGTATAATGGAAGGAGGTATCTCTTTCCAGGTAGGAGAAGGATGCTGCAGCCATTACAGTGCTGGACAGTATCTTGAAGCACCTGCATGTATTCTTTTCTTGTACTCTGCCACACTTCCTCAGTGAAGTTGGGTAAGTCAAGCCCTGATCCTCTGAAGGTGCCCAATACTTATTAAGGATCTCCTTTTGTCTCCATTTGTTATCTTTAATAAGAAAGTCAAACAGACTTTCAGGGTAAAAATATTAAGGATTGGGAGAGGCAGTGGATGGGAGCTTGTTAGCTTTTTAAAAGTGTTGCCTTGATTACATAGCATACCTAAATGTGGGATATAATCAAGCTTAGCTCCTTGATAAAATTATCAGTTTCTGATATAGTAGTTCACCTTTTGAAAGTTAACTTTCAAGCAATAATTGCATATTAACATGGAACTTTATGACTTCCATCAGCCACCAGGTAGGATCCATTACGGAAGGAGAATTGCTTGTAGCTAAGGTAGATTAACTAGTCCTTTCTATGCTTCAGAAGACTTGATATGCTTATTGGACATAGTCATCTATCTCTCTCCTTACTGTTCAGACTTTCAAAGCATCAGACATAAAGTCTGATGGAGGACTTTGAGCGTGGCTACTCTGGTGTGTAAGGGTGTTTGAATGCTGATTCTGTATTCTAAGTGGAGTGAAAATTATCAGAGTTAGTTCCCCTTTTTTTCTTCCCCCCCCCCCCCCCTTTTTTTTTCTTTTTACTCAAGTCCCTTACAATAGTATTTCCTCTCTCACTTGTGAAATGTAAAGTGCAGTTGCTTCTGGGTAGGTTTTTCTTTTGTGAGCTAGTTCAGCTGCACAGAGCTGGGCCGAGATCTCACTAGCAGAACTGTGCTCCTTTAAAACAACAGACAATTATTTCTTTTCCTACAAACTGACAGCAATTCATTATTCCATTCAGTTTTACTTTTTGCACTTATGCAGTTAACTTGCAATTAAATTGTCTGTTCAGAAGTGGTAATAACACCTCTAAACCCATAATTAAAAAAGGAAAGCTTGAGTTTGAATATATACTGCGTATCATCAGTATGGAGTTTGAAATCTATATACTGCTTAAAGGCTCGACAGCAGCAGGCTTTCCCAGAGCTGTAGTTTTGGTTTTTTTTTGTGTGCGTTAACCAACTGGAATGCCTCACAGTTCTGATTAGAGACATTTATCACAGGTTTATATACAATTTTACATTGCTACTTTATTTTTTCTAGGATAAATGGGTGTGTATGTCTTTTCCCCTGATCTAAAGCGGTTCCATGTCTTGTTTGGTAAGTTTGTATTTAAAAGCCTTTAGCTCTTGTACCTTGTTACCAAGCCTTACCTTAATGTGAAAAACTTCTGGTGAAATGCCTTGCTTGAGGGGATTTCCACAGCGCTGAGGTATTTAAACATCGTGTATTGACTTTCGCTGAAGGAGACTGTTCAGTACCTCTCCTCCCTAGATCTGCCATGTATGTGTTCTGTGCTGGTTTTTAACCTTTTGCTTGACTGACTTGTAGCAGAAATCTTTCTGAACTCCTGTTTACAGGGTTACTTTTTGATGTTTTCCCATGGCTGCGTTTAATAAATTGCAGCAACTCCAGTAACATTCACTTATTTCTGTTCTTAAGGACTGCTCCTGTATTCTACGTACACCAGTTGAATCAATCAGACCAGAAGAGCTATCTGAGAGCAGCATCCATGAATGCCTAGTAAGGAAAAAATAGAAACATTAACTGGCAGAATTAAATATGAAGCTGGTACATATTAAAAATAATCTTATTAGAGGTACTTCTTAAAATGTTAATAGCAAAAGTAACCAGAGTACTTCCAGACTTTCACTATGGAAGAAGACTATAGGTAACAAAGTGTTACTCTCAATCTTGTACCAGTTTAAAAACACACACACAAAACAAGTAGTTCATAAAACTGAGTCTCAGTGTAATGGTAGAAGCAACGGCTTGAATGTTGCAACTTGAAAACTTGATCTTAGCATTTTGATTACTGATACTTCTACATTAACATGCAAATGTTTAAAATTACATAGTCATTTTGAGAACTGGTTTTCCTCACTTTTAGGCTGATTCTGATCTAGCCTGGATTCCCCCATCTGTAGGAAGGAATGAAATGGTATTTTGCTCTTCTAATGTCTCTCACTATGAACTCCAGCTGCAAATAGGTAAAATAAGCATACCTTAAAATATTTCTTGTGCCTGCAGATGCATGCTCTCAATAGGTTATTGCTAACTGCAGTAAATACTAAGTTGGAAAATGTATTATCAGCTGACTAGAACTATTCTTATGTCTCTTTAGTTGAGAAAAGTGCAGAACATTTCTCATATTTGCGATCCCTATTTTAAGATATCAGTAAAAATCAGTAATTACCGTTTTTTTCTCTTGATTTTTGTGCATGTCAATTTTCTAAATCTGTATTATGTGGACAATAAATACAGCATTAAGTAACATCATGTCTTGTCACTTGGCTACCTGAGGTGATTGTCCTAAGGGCGGCTGCCCTCAATCCTACTGTGCATGCATATGTTTATGTGAATATGCATGCTAAAAGTGTTGTTCATTTAGATGTATAATTGATACTGAAAAGTGTTTCAACACTTTTAAGTTGTAAGAATAGCAGAGCCATGCTTTAATTTTGCTGGATATATTCTGCTGCAACTACTTAAGTTCTCAACATTCTTAAAAGGCAATGCTGCTATCAATTGCAGTTTTAGGAATATAAAATTTTCTCTAAATATGAAGGAAATTGTGGTGGATTATTATATTTTCCAGTGTTAAGGTAGCCACTTCTGGTTTCAGGAAGGAGGTTCAACAACTTAACTTCAATCTACCTTGCACGGCATACGCCTACAGGCATGCAAGTTGCTGTAAGGATCACAGACCTAGAAAATTGCTCTGAAGAGCATTTGAAAGCCTTACAGGTAAAGCAACAGCATTTCTGCACAAGTCTGGTGAAGACAGTGATGAATTTATATGAGGTTACTAAACAGATGTAGCCTTTGTGTTTGTGCTGTCTTATTTCAGTCAAGTTTTTCCTCCAAAGGAGTAGAACATAAACACAAGGCATGTGTAAATTTGAGAGTTGCTTTCTGAAGAAAACAGCTGACAAATGTTTTAGAAATACTTCTGTAATTGTACAACCTTTTCTTTGAAACATGTTCTGTACTCTGTATTTACACTAAAACTTTGGACTATGAGCAAACTAGATTTACTTCAGACAAATGCAATTACAGGCAAGTTACTTACTTTTCTATTGCAGGCTATGTACATCACCTGCAACTTTGTATAAATTCACACAGGGAACAGTTCTTTCTGATTATTGATGTAGTTAATGCTCTTAAGACTGTTGTCTTGTGGTTAACAAATCCACTTTCATTTAATTTCATAGAATGAAGTGGTTTTATCCCACTTTTTCCAGCATCCCAATGTAATGACGCTTTGGACAGTGTTTACAGCTGGTAGTTGGCTTTGGGTCATCTCCCCATTCATGGCCTATGGTAAGAACTGTTAATTGCAATTTTGGAATAGTAAAAAAGGTGGATACAATTTTGGCCACATGGTCCATGACAGGTTTTTCTTAAAGCATCTCCAGTCTTGTAGAAAAAACAAGCTTTCCCAAACCACTTTTTAGAGAAGTCTTCTGTATAAAATCTTCTTTCCCAGTGAAGACTGGTATTCGAACTGCATTAAACTGCACTTAGTCCTAACACCCACCACATGAGGAATGGTAACTGGGAAACTTATTTAACTTTATGCAACTTTGGATTTTGCCAACAGAAAACTTGTCTATATTGAATACAGGTTTGATGATGACTGGAATTGATCTTTGCCTGATGGATGCATGTAACTGTTCTTGATGTCCCACAGTCAAAGTAACAATGAGAATGCCACTCTTGATGAATGTATACAATGAAGCAAGCACAAAGGAGTAATTTAACAAGACTTGTCAGGCTTAGCTAGTTTTTTTTCACTTCCAGGTTCAGCTAGACACCTGCTGAAGACCTATTTTCCTGAAGGGATGAGTGAAGCTTTGATAGGGAACATTCTATTTGGTGCAATCAGAGGGTTAAATTACATGCACCAGAATGGCTACATTCACAGGTAGGAGAATGTCAATAGGTAAGAAACAGATTACAGCATCGAGTTTATTAAGAATTTAGATTTGCTTCAAAACTCATTTTCAGCTAGTGTTGTCTCCTTCCTTTTTCTATATACCTTCTTACGTCAGACAGTGCAGAACCTTTTCTGTTTTCTTTTTTCAATAATAGAGCAGAACCAAGTTTGTAGAAGCTTAGCAAGAACAGTATTCATACATTACTTAAATCCAGTTGCTACAGGGATTATACATCTGTTTGGCTTTGTCTCTTTGAAGCAGAAGAGAATCAGAGTTGTAGAAAGGGTTTCCTTACTTTACACCCTTTGCAGGGAAAGAGGGCCCTTTCTTCTGGTTGCCTTTGCTCCCTCCTCTTACCTCTCCAATCTCCGCTCTTTCTTGCGGCTGTATTAAAAAGATAACTCATACTGAGTGAAGAACTTCTAGGAACATAATCTGCTAAATAGAGCTGCACACTAACATCTTATTATAAGTTAATGAAATATGAAAGTCTTTCTACTCTAGTAATGCTTTGAGTAATTCCTATAACTAAAATTTACCACTTTATGTTACAGGAATATTAAAGCTAGCCACATTCTGATTTCAGGGGATGGGCTGGTTTCTCTCTCTGGGTTAAACAACCTCTACAGTTTAGTCAACAATGGACAAAAGTCAAAGGTGGTATATGATTTCCCCCAGTTTAGTACATCTGTGCTTCCTTGGCTGAGTCCTGAACTACTGAGACAGGTTAGTATAAATTACACTTCATTTTTCAATCCGTCCTGTAGATAATCCCATATAGATAACAGGGTATTAGAATCTTGCCTTGAAACAAGGCAACTCTTGTCTTTTTGTCAGCACAAAAGTGATCAAGTGATCAAGTAGAGATCTCTTTCTCTCATAGGATTTATCTGGGTATAACATGAAGTCTGACATTTACAGTGTAGGAATTACAGCATGTGAATTAGCCAATGGACATGTTCCATTTCAAGATATGCCTCGCACTCAGGTATGATGCTAAATTCTGCTTCAAAACACTGAACTTTTTTTGTCTTACTCAGAGAAACCAGTAGTATTCCTGCTGAAATGGTGGCTGGTTTTTGTTACTTCAAGTACACATGCTGCTTTTTAGACTAAATAATTTTTTCCATTACTGGAGTTTCACATCTTAGCCTGAATAGGTCGGGATAGCTTTTGAACTCTTATACTGCTATTCCTTTCTACTAGATGCTGCTGCAAAAGCTGAAAGGTCCCACATACTGTCCTTGGGATATAAATACATTTCCTCGTGGGGAATCCAGGATAAAGAATTCCCGGTCAGGTGTTGATTCTGGAATTGGTGAGAGCATGACACACACAATGACCAGTGAAAGACTACAAATTCACTTTTCCAAAACATTTTCACCTGCTTTCCACAACTTGGTAGAACTCTGCTTGCAACAGGACCCTGAGAAAAGGTAACATTCTGGTGAAAACTAATTTTCTGTAGTTTCGATCTAAGACTAAGCACAGTTAGGGTACAGTAGTTAGTTGAATACTATTCAAGTCAGAATTTCAGACCAGAAAGTACTATGCAAAACACTACACTTACCTTTGGTTTTGTAATTTAAGAATTACCTTGTCTGTTAAAGGAACCATGCTTTTAAAGTTGTTTGACTCCTGAAGTTCTTGTAATATAAGTGTACTCTGTAACAAGTAGAATTAATTTTTAAGCACGTACTTTATCCAAGAAGAAAACAGAAATCTGAAGTATATGTTTTCAGTACTATGTCTCTTCCGAATGAGGCATTAAAGCCTTTTGAAATAGTTTCTTTAGTAGTGTGCTCACTACAAATTGAGGCATAGAATGTTGGAATCCTGTGCTGCTTTTCTCGTGCTTCACATTTGTCCTGTGGATGAAAATACACAGGGTTTAAATTGATCTGTGAGACTGGCCCATTTTCCAGAAGCAGAATTTAATTTCAAAAACATAATTATATTGTTCATTTTATGATCCAGGCCATCAGCAAGCAGTTTGCTTTCGCATACGTTCTTCAGACAGGTGAGTTTACTATATTTTGTTAAATGACATAGCTATAGCCTAAATAAGCCACAAAACATTAAGAGTTGGATTACAAAAAAAATAAGTTAGCTGGAGCCAAAAACCATCCTGTAACAGCATATCTGTTTCAGACTACTTTTTTTTTTTCTTAAACAAAATGGTATTTGGTAGAGTATGGCAAGCATAAGTAATCCATTTCCCCTTTGATAAAGTTGCTTTAACTAAAGACAGTCTAACTAATAAGAATAATGGTTAATATTCTTGATTTAAAGCAGAAAAACTCCATAGCTATTGTAATTAGTCTTCAAAGACTAATTCAACTTACTCTAGAGTGAAGAAAACTAAAACCGTCATCCTATTATTTTCAGTATTGTAACATGCAAGAACATGCCTGTATTTTGACATGCTTTTAATGAAGCCACATGCAAGGTTATGTCGACTTTTATGTGCAGCCTCGTTTTAACTTTTCTTCTTTCTAGATAAAAGAACAAACGCAGAATTCACTACTGTCTCTATTACCACCTCCTATTCAAAATAACAGATCGGAGTTCTTGGCACTGCCCTCAGCAACAGTTGGGACTGAACTTGGACATATTACTGCAAATCAAGATGATACAGACTGGGAATTCTAAATAAATACCAAACAATCATACCTCTCCTGTGATTCAAAGAAGGAAAATGTGATTTTTATTTGCTGCTTTAGTTTGTATGGTTAAGATACAGTAATATGAGATATACTTGAAAATGCCATTGAAGTGGCCCTATTTCATTAACTATTTTGTTGGCATAATGAAATGCAGCGTGCCTCCCTTTCTGACCATAAGGAAAACTGTATGTAGAGAATAGCTGAATGCTTATCTACCTTTCAGAATATTTCTTAAGAGAGTTCCTGCTGTAATCTTACTGTGTGCTGTATTTTCAGCTCATATTGCTGCACTCCATGTGCCTTTCTGAATTCAGGCTTGGGTTTTGATGGGGATCTTGCTGAAACAATCTGTCTTTTCATTATCACCTGAATTATTTGAGTGAGGAGAAATCTTCCACTTCCAAGTCTAAATTTGAAACGGCACAAATTAATTGTTTATGGAGATATATGTTTCTCTTTTCATACATCCAAAAGGCATTTTTATCATTTGCTGTGCTGTCATACTTGCCGAAAGTTAGCTATGCATGATATTTCATGCAGTTTTAATACTGTGTGTTTCCCAAAGAAGTTAAGGTACTTGGAAATGTGACTCATACTCTTGCATTTGTCTACATTCTTAATACAAATTTGTGGGTTTGCATCTCCATTTATTGTTGTGTCATTTTAGCAGTTAATCTGAGGATCTCTTACTATGCAATAAAAGTCTCAAGTTACAACAGTACAGGTTAAGTTTGAAGAACCACATTAAAAAATCTAAAGTTATTGTACATATTTTTATTTATACTGTATTCATGTTCACCAGGACTTACCAGAACCTAGTACTGTTTTCTTAAAAGAACAGGCAACATGCATTAAGCTTCACTGCACTGCTGCTGGCAAGCAAGAGCTTAAATTCCCATGGATAGATTCACCCATAACAAAAACCTAATAAACCTCCTTAGGATCCTAGTGAACTTACCTGTTTAAAGTCAGATGAAAAACTGTCTTTCTCCCAACAATTCAGTAAGTTGTCATCTCTTATATTGTACCAGGCAATTCAAGCTGTGTTTTAGCAAGTTGGGTCCCAAAGCCACTAGTACTTTACTGATACAAGTTATGTCCGTAGGAGAAAAAAAAAAAAGTATAAATAGCTATCAAATGTCTGTATTTTATATTTTCAACAAACAGCATTTCATATTAAGTCTTCCATAGCTGAGCCAGTCTGCAACAAGCCTTGAGAATACTGCTGTTTTGTCAGGAGCTTTACTACAAAGCCTTGAAGACCAAATGACTGAAATACAAGCCTGAGACTGACACAAAATTCTAACTGACCACATTAAAGTATTAACAAAAAAGTTGATTCTACTCATTATGCTGTGAAGAGAGAGCTCTATATTTCAAATCTTAATATGTGAAACTTCAGATTAAAAAACTTCCAATAAACTTACCCTGTCTCCATTTATTTCTGTAATTCTTGTACTTCTGTTTTCACTGGTCTTGTCATAATAGCTGCTGTTACTGCAGGTGAGAAGTTTCATATTTATGTATGTCAGTCATTAGGTAAGAAAATAGTTGTCTAAACTAGAAACTTACCTGATCATAAAAATATTATTTACTCTGAGAGACGATAGTATTTTGACATGGACCCCACATTCTTAACCACTACAAATTCCAAGTATTTTCAAATCAAATACATGTGTAGCATCTGCAAATAACTTTTGACTAACAGCACATGTAAAAACCGAGTCAAATATGTGAGAACACACATGAAGTTGTACATATTTTGATTACATACCTCTGAATAAACATTAATACCTTTTTGAAAAAAAACTGCAGAAAATTTCAGGCAGCTTAACTGTTAGTATGTGCAAGCTTTTCTTGAAACAACAGTGCCCTGCACTCCATAAAAATGAATTTGGATGTAACAAAATCGCTGTAAATTCAGTTAAACAACCAGGTGTTCCAGTGGAGTTACTTTGCTGGTGTCTCTCTGTGGGGGGAGCAGGGAAATACCTCTAAATACTGGTCCAGCTCCTGTACTGACATAACTTCTAAGAAGAAAATGAAACACCATTTTGTAAGTTAAAAAGCTCACAAGTCCTTCCTGTTGGAACTATTCTTTTCAACAACATTATTTTCAAACAAAAGCAATTAAGAGACACTGTAACCTACAGTAATTCTTAAAATAACCAGAAATACTTGAAACTAGGACGTGGAATATGTTTGCTTCTGGTCTGCTCATTAATAGTAATACTATCAAGGAATAATGCAAAATAAATAATTAGTTTACATTAAAAAACATGCATAATCATATTGTTAAGGAAGTTTCAACTACCTCTGAAAAAAACATTCTTCGAAACAGCCATTTGTTCTGCTTTGCCCAAGATAGCCTCCAACCATCACAGTACCCACCAGTCCTTCTCCATCTGTGAACAGCAAATCTAGCCAGGCATCTCCCCTATGTAGCTTACACACCAATTGGGTCAAGAAGTCACCTTCCACACCCTCTGTTGTGGTTTAAGTCCAGTCAGTAACTCAGAATCACTAGTCTCTCACTCCCCCTGTCCTTCCCCCTGCTCCCAGAGGGATGGGGAAGAGAATCGGAAGAATGTAACTCCCACGGGTTCAGATAAGAACAGTCCAGTAACTAAGGTATAACACAAAACACTGCTGCTACCACCAATAATAATAATAAGGGAAATAACAAGGGAAGAGAACACAACTGCTCATCACCAGCTGACCGATACCCAGCCCGACCCGAGCAGTGATCTAACCCTTCTGGGTAACTGCTCCCAGTTTATATACTGGGCATGACGTGCTGTGGTATGGAATACCTCTTTGGTTGGTTTGGGTCAGATGTCCTGTCTCTGCTTCCTCCCGGCTTCCCCTCCTCCCTGGCAGAGCATGAGACTCAGAAAGTCCTTGGTCAGACTAAACATTACTTAGCAACAACTAAAAACATTGGTGTTATCAGCGCTGTTCCCAGGCCGAAAGTCAAAAACACAGCGCTGTACCAGCTACTAAGAAGGAGAAAAATGACTACTACTGCTTAACCCAGGTTATCCTCCAAAAACACTTATACATTTACAAAATCTCACAGCCACTGAAACAGAAATTTATAGGTTTGTTACTTTTGCAATACACAAACAACACAAAGGGTTGTTTTGGATTTTTTTTGCTGTCACCTTTTTAAAAAAAAAATTTTGCTAGAATTTAACACTACATAAAACAATGAAATACCTGTAACAATAGAAGACTTAATTAACATCCTGAATGTATACTCAATATGTTGAGTTTTTTTCTTACCGTCTTGCTTTGATATCACAGCAGTCTGTGAATGAATGGACGAACACAGGAAAAAGTGTGATTTACTCAGAATCAATTTGAGCTGCTGTATGAACTACTCACTTTATACAGTCTCAATGCAATAAATAACCATTGAAGAGATGTTTTTTCCCACTCAATGCTTTTAAAGAACAAAAGTAAATAAATAAATAAATAAATAAATAAATAGGAGTTTTACCTTACCTCTCCCTTTTCCCCACCCTCCTTAAGTGCTATGAAAACAGTTTTTAACCTACAGAATGGCTAAAATCACAGGAAAGCATTTGAAAATCATTGTTCCAAATGTCTCTGACAAAAGGCAAGACACCTAAGTAGGTGACTTACATACCCCATCTTTAATGCTAATAAGTAGCTTTGCTAAAGTATGGTTATCTAACAAACATCTAAACCAAGATAGCTGGAATGACCTGTCCTGATGGCCCTGTTCTGTATGTATGAGTTAAAACTAAAATTCAGAGATACCACACCACACACCCATGCAGACAGACCTCAGAAAACTAAGAACCATACTATGAAATAATGCTATTTGCTGTTAACAGACCAGGAAAGACTTAATAATTTTAAAAAGAAAGCACTGAAAAATCAAAGTGGTCTACTAATAACCAGCTAGCAGAATGGTATTTAACATAGTTAAACTTATACATAAACTTGAGATAGGATGAAGGAAATAAAGGTTTAAACAGGTTCCTGTGGAAACTTCCATCATTTCCAAATGAAAATTCCATAAATTGATTACATAAATGCATGTTACTTATCCAAAAGTCCCACAAAATTCCTGAAAAATGACTAAAAAGGTTCATATGAAATTAGCTGCATTTGAGTGGTGGTTTTAT